TGTCCAAGTCGCCCAGGCAAGCCAGCCCAGCGCGCCCCCTTACCCCGTCCAAGTTCTGCGCCCAGGAGCCGGCTCAGGCCGCTGGCGCCAGCTGCCGCTGGCTGCGGAGGCCGCGTCCGCCTAGCCCTCAGCGGCAGCTGGCAGTGCGCCTGCTGTGTTTCCGTCAGCGGGTCGAGGCGGGCGTGCGCCGCGTAAGCCGCGAGCAGGGCGTCGTCGTAGGCCCTGGCGGCCGCCTCGGAGGCTGCTGGGGTGTTCGTGCGCAGCAGGTGCGTGAGCTTGCTGCCGCCGCAGTGTCGGAGCAGTAGCCCCGTCGTCTGCGCGGCCGGCAGGTGCGGCGAGGCCGTTGCTGGGAGGGTCGCGAGCTTGGCCAGTAGCTCCGCCGCTCGCCCTGCCGTCTCCGCGCAGCGCGCCGCCGCGTAGCCGGCCGTGCCGAGGTCGACCCGGCGCGCGTCGCTCTCGTCCGGCAGCCCTCCAGGAGGCAGCGGCCCGCCCAGGGGCACCCCCACGAGGGTCAGGCCTTCCGCGCGCCACTGCTCCTCCAGCCCGGGAGGGCAGGTGGCCCCGGGAGATCAGGCCTGCGTCTTTCCCTGCTCCAGCTCCAAGCCCAAGCCGCCGAGCGCCTCTTGCGCCGTCGCCTGGACCTCGCCCGCGAGCGCCGAGGGGGCCAGCACGACGACATCACCGAGGTAAGCGAGGACGTGCACATCGTCTGGGTTCAGCACCCGGCGCTGGGCCTCCCCCCGCAGAGCGTCTTCGAGGGCTGGCAGGTGGGGGCGCAGCCCGCAAGCGAAGAGCAGCGGCGCCAGCGGGTCCCCCTGGTCTACCCCGCTCGTGGCTCGCAGGCGGTGGCAGACCCCGGCCGCGTCCCAAAAGTAGTACAGGGACTCTCGGCGGCAGAAGAGGTTGGCGTAGGGCAGCAGCTCTGGTGCCACCTCCTCCAGGCCGCGGAGGCAGGCCTCGCGGTGGGCAGAGCAGTAGGCGTTCTTGGCGTCCAGCGCAACTAACACCAAATCGGGGTTCGCCTCTGCCAGAGCCCGCGCGGTGTGGGCCAATTGCTCGGTGCCCGCAGCAGTGCCCGCAGCAAACTGCTGTCTCCCCAGTGCCTCGGCCAAGCCTTCCTTCCGAGGGGCCACCAGCGCGCGGCCCACCAGCCGCCGCAAGATGCTCGGCGCGGCGATCGGACGGATCCCGCCGCCTGGTTTTCGCAGCAGTGTGAGCTTCGCCAGTGCCGGGGCCGCGGCGGCGCTTTCCGGGGCCCGGCCCTCTGCCAGGCGGTCGCGCACGCCGTAGAGGGCCGCCAGTGCCGCGGGCTGGGCGAGCACGACCCGCTAGTGCTCGAAGTGCCCGCCGCCAGCCGCCGCCCCGCTGCCCCGGGGGCTCGCCTGCAGTGCTTTCTTCAAGGCCCTGTGGGAGAGCGGCGGAGGCCCAGCCAGCGGCGGCGCCGCCGGCGGCAGCGCGGCGGCGGGGCGCGGCTGGAGTAGCGCCTGCAGCTGCCCTGCCGTGTCGGGCGTGAGTGGCGCGAGTCCTGGGCTGCTCAGCAGGGCGGCAGCTCGGGAATACTCCTCCGCCATAGCTTTTCGGAGGACCTCGTCCGCCAGGGAGCGCTCGTCGCGGCCTCCCCCGTCGCCTGCCTGGCGGCGCGCCTTGGCCCCTCCTCCTCCTCCTCCTCCTCCTCCTCCTCCTCCTCCTCCTCCTCCTCCTCCTCCTCGCTTGGCGGGCCGGCCGCGGCTCGGCAGCGTGAGCGCTTGCGCCCCTGGGTTGGGTAGTCTCCAGATGCATTGGGTGACGCCACGAGGCCCGCAAGCGCCGCCGCGCCACCTGGCGAGTCACCCCGCGGGCTGTTGCAAAGGGGGCACGGCGACCTTTCGGCTTGGGACGCGTCCCCTGTGTGGAGCAAGCGGGCCAGGCCCGCCCGTGTCGGCCGATGTTTGGCCGCGCATGCCGTGTGGAAGCGGTGGGGGGCACGGCCGCAGGCTGGCCACGCCGCGGTGTCCCCTCCGAACGGCGTCTGGCAGTTGGCGCAGTGGTCTTTCTCGTTGTCCTTATTTTGCCGCTCGCTGCCGCTCTGCCTCTCACGGGCGCCGCGGCGTTTGCGGCAGGAACAACCCCGAGAAGTTCCACTGCGCAGCGCCAAGTGGGTACGCTGGCGCCCAGCCGAACATGTCGGCGTCCTCATCCTCTGGCGCAGCTGCTCGCCCAGAGCCGAAGACTGCGTCGAACTGGTTCGCTGGCGGCGGCGGTGGCTGCAGTGGTGATGGGGGCCGCTCGTCTGTTCTCGAGTCTGGTGTTGCGAACCGTTCGGGTGCCGAGAGCATGTGCGGGGGCGTCTCTGCCAGCGGAGGCCTTGGGGCTGACTCGCCCGATAGACGTTCGGGCGTGCGCGGCGGGTCGTCGGCTGGGCGTGGCGGCCCTGGGTGGCTTGCCTCGCGGACCCGCTGCCCGCGGTATCCGTGGAGCGCGTCTGGTGGATCTGTAGATGGGTCGTGGTGCTGCTGTGGCG